TGTTGTTAACCGGTCGTTATGTAGTACAATGAGAGCTACCGATAGTACGAAGGTATGTCACACGCCGTTCTAACTAACTTAGACAAAGTTGTACCCGTTCGTGGGCGCATAGCATAGATACTGGTTACCATAAGCGTCGGTGATTTGAGGTATGATCAATGCATACGACCCAGCCGAGAGTCCCTCCATCAAAGGAGGCTACGGTCAAGGTTCATCTGATGCTGGACGACACTCCGCCTAGAGGAATGTGGCCACCAGCCTCACCAACGCAGGGCGAGACTGGGGACAAACTCGGTCTGTTTACACAACCTAGGTTTCGTCGCCTAATTTCCGAAGCCTCAGTGAACTGAAGCAGGCGGGCGACGCTCCGTTGGTTGACTATGCTAAATGATTCACGAAGATTTTCACACATGGGCCATTCAAGCATGTGTCGGGAGATCGAATTGCCAGACAGCGTTTGACCATTCGCGAACAGCTTGCGAGGAATATGCTCTGAAATCCTCGTGGACAGTGTTCGCTCAGTTTGGCCGATGTACTCGCTACCGCAAGTACAGTGAAACAGGTAAACGACTGAGGCGGTAACTCGAGAGGCTGGCCTGTTCATGTTGGATTTAAATAACAACTTGTTACCTCGGTGCAAAAGCACAAGCTCAGCGGCGTAGAAACAACTTTACATAGATTGACGGTGACGGTATCAGAATCTGTCATTTTGGTCACCTTTTAATGGTGGCGTTACGAACACTTTCCATTCGAGACGTAATGCACCTGCGTGTTCATAGTACTCGCGTTCGACTTTGAGTGCCGTGCTGCGAACTTCGCTGGATATCCGTTTTCGTGAAATGTCGAGGAAACAGGTTACATCTACAGAACTTCCGATCCCAAAAAGCTTGAGTAAAGCAAATGAACGCTCGATATGTGCCATCTGCCGTGAGTAGCTAGTTTAGAAGGAAGAATAACTGCACGTCCAAACCGTGTACGCCTTTGTGTATCTGAGTATGTGACAAGTGCTGGTTGGGGGGGGATAGGGAGCACTGAATCCGCATATCGGCTAGGTGGGTGTAGTGCTCAGTAGCGGAGTTTGTTCAGTGTCAGTGTCGGGAGTCTGTTGCTGCGGTGACTGGAATTCGAGTTGCGCTGGTTTCGGGCGGTCCCTATTGGCAGTGTTTGGAACCATTTCTGTCTACTACGATATACGTCTCTTTGCGAGCGATGACATTGAAGGGGCCTTCGCAAGGCGGTGTCAAATGCCTTCGAACCGCATCGATACTTACGAAAACGTAGGGACACGATTGCATTCGGAGTGAATGTGGTGGTTTCGAGAAGTGAATCGCGGTGGGATTGGACAAATGGTGCTGAAGTATTATTCCACGCGTGCAACACATGACGCAGAATCGACTTCGCCAGTGATCCTGGAATCTAGTACCAATTCTCCAGGAATTCTCAGTGTCGTACCGAAGGCTAGTTCTCTGAGACAACAACCGAGATCTTCCTTCACAGTGTTGCGGATAACGAGGAGAATGATCGGTAAACGCTGCGACCAATGGAAATTCGATTGCGTCGCAGTGAGTGAGGTTGAGTTGGCGGTGAAAAAGCTCAACTAAATCGTTAGCCGCCAGATGATATGCTGTTGTGCCTAAATGAGAACAGCCAAGCATGCGGTTAAGGTTGCGAAACAATGCAGAATTAAATTGGGGCCCTCCATCCATGGTGATAGTGTTGGGGTGCCAAACACCGATATTCAAGTTTCGATGAAAGTTCGTGCCGCCGTCTCGGCTGAGACTTCTCGCAGCAACACGGCCTGTGTCCAACATGTGAAGCGATCGACACATGTCAACACGTAAATAAAACCGTTGGATAGCGGTAGAGGTTCAACAATATCGATATGGACATGCTTGAATCGAGCGTCGGGCAGAGAAAAGGTTCCAGGAACAGTAATCGTGTGGCGACGTAACTTGCTCTTCTAACAGGTAATACAGTGTTTCACCCACTGCCGGATATCAGAGCGCTTGCTGGGCCAGATGTAGCGATCCGTAATCCGTTTGATGGTAGCGCGGCTGCTCGGATGAGAGATTCCATACCAGTGGTCAAACGCAACTCGTCGCTACTATTGCGGAACGAATGGTCGAGACTTTCCGGTGGATATATCACTGTAACTTCGAGAGTCCGAGCTGCGAGCAGGCAGTTAAGACAGTTTAATAGAAGTGCTTGATTTCAACTGCTCAAACCCAGGATCTGTTTCTTGATGGGTAGCGATGTCTTCTAATTTGATTGTTTGGCGCGGAATCTTGTGAAGACCAAAGCCGGACAATGCGTCGCCTACAACACTAATGTGTCGAATGTCGGTGGTAACCTGTGAAATTTAAACCAACTGACGAATTTCTTGAGGTGAGAAGCGACCAGCTGAACCACAACAAGCAAAAGTAAGGGGCTTATGATCCGTATTAACGTAAATGCACGTATTTTAATAAGTCATTTGATCGGAGTTGGATAAGCTTAGGATTATTGGATTGTGCGCAGATAGTCTCTCCAGATCGTCTGATTTAGCGTTGATAAAGGGTGGCAGTGTGAAAAAGGTTGACATTGTTACAATTGCAGAGCGGGTGCAAAAAGCGTGACTGAATATTCCATCTGAAATTATCGTACGATCATTCAAAAGTGCTGCATCAGTAATGCTATGGATGGAAGTGAGGACGATGCCATTTTTGTGGAATACGACAATGACGCGAGCAGTGCGGTTGAAGAGGACGATATTCACCCTGACGTCCAAATGACAGAAGAACAGCACTAGAAACTGGAGATACTGACTCGGATTCTGGTTTCGAAGGATCCGAATAATTTTAATACCATTGTGCAGCGTTTGGAGATGGGAGCCTATAACATCCACGTGCTGTTCTGTCATGACTTTTTCTAATGTTAGTGTGTGTGATGGTGTCCGATTCTGTATAATCAATATGTTACTGTCGCGAACTTCACCGGTGCAATATACCGCGAATTTTCGATACAAATATGTGTCTACCTATAGGCACTTTAAATCCCCGCCTGAAATACCTTGTCACTAGCGAGTGGCGTTAAGGCAATATAGGGGCTTATCTGTGCATTAAATTTATGGGTAGATTTTGCATGTGATTTCTTCAACTTATGCATAACATTTGTATAAGCCAACCTCCCCCCCACCACAGATATAGAAAATTGCCCAAAATTCCTCGACTTATACACGGTAATATACGGTAAATTGATGTAGAATCGGATTGGACCAGGTGTCTCTTCTTGTGACGTGGATCCCTAGCCTAAACGTGACGAGCTTGTTTTGTAATCCGACGGCGCAGGTTCGAGCATGCGTAGGGGCAGGGCGACCCCCGCAATATTCTTAGCCCACGTGCGACCGGTGGTGGTCGCGCGGCAGCGAAGCGTCAGTACTGCGTACCTGCATGCTGCTGCTTCCTTTTCTTTCTCCTTGCTACGTTGAGCAATAGACGGTGCGATTTCGTCAATGACATGTGGAGTGAGACAGCTGGGAAAGTTCGAGCTACTGCAGTGGAAAGTCTTTCACTCAGCAAATCTAAGGTGATGTCACTCTTGAAAGGAAATCATAGAACAAATCCTTGGAAACAGTTGGAATCACTTTACAGCTGTCATTAAGCACTGCGTGTTCTCGGATAAACGCGGCCGGGTAACCGTTTTCCTGCTGCTCTTTTCAGCCTCCTATGTCTCTGTGCTGCATTAGGTCGATGAGCTCTTTTGACACATCTCTGTCTAGGTAGTTGGGCTATGCACACTCCCACTAGTTCTTGGCACTTTCTGTCGCGATACGCATTGGTCCTCGACCCGAGCTCAAATAGACATAGGTGGCATGCAGTCCAGCTGTTGCCGCATGTTTGATCTGCCTTGGCGTTTTCTGACCTCTTCCAGAAACGTTTCCTTAACTTGTCAAGCGTTACTTGAACTTATGCCCTCTCGCCTTATTTATTACAACCTGATGAATTTCGGGATAACATTATAGTCCATCGGGGGCACATCCCCTCATAGTCCGGCCCGTAGCCTTAAGAATCGCAAGCCTGCCTTGTAATCCGAGAGCGCAGGTTCGAGCCTGCGTAGGGATCAGGCGACCGTCGCATTATCGTTAGTCCACGTGCGGCTGTTGGTGGTTGCGTGTCAGCGAAGCGTCGGTACTACATACCGGCGTGCTGCTAATGCCATCCTCCCAGATGTGCTCAGATGATAGCACAACCGTCAACATGTGTCCATCAGTGCCATATGTCTAGGTCTCAGATTCATATTCCTACTAAATGATGGCATGGTTCTTGCCTTGCGACATTTTTATGAGCTGTCGGTTCTTTGTATGTGTGGGTAGAAGGCAGAGCAGTGTAATTGTGTCGGCGACTAGTGACTGGGACATGGTTTGCGCATCATCCATACCACTCAGTGGGATCACATACATGTCCAGTGGTTTTGGCAGGTCGCCGTTAATGCTGTGGCATCTTACACGAGCGCATATCTTATAGTTTCGAACTGAGCCACTTGTCAGGTGCAAGGGCAACGCTGTCACTGCAGCAAAATAAAAGCCATTCGAACCTCATGAGATCAATTCCTCGCGTGCACCATTATTGAGCAGTCCCGATCGACTTCTGCCGTAGTCAGACGCCGTGATCTCACATGCATTATGTTCCCCGCACTTGCTGTCTTAGCCCCTACATGGAGGCTTTAGTTTTCTTCTTAATCAGGAGGTACTGTGACCTACTTATCATTGCAGAGCACTGTCAGGCATACGGAATCGCAACGATCTGCTGCGTTGATTGTGTTTTCTAAACCAGCAACACTCAGGTTTTCTGTGGCCATGAACGGTGGAATATTTTCTAACGGCCAGAGTTCATGTTTGATTTCTTCTTTGGCTTTCTACCGCCTCCGTTTATTCTTCTTGCCACTCTTGTTTTGTTGTCGCAGCCCGCTGTATCACCTCCTCCCATTCCCATTGTCTCGCTTTCCGCTCTCCTACCCCCCAGTGCTGTGTGGCTTGCGCGTCAGTCAGATGACTCGGACCTATGAGGATTTAGACGCTATCACGCACTTATTAGAAGAAGTGAGTTGTATTCCGCAAACTATTACCTTCATTTCATGTTGCCTGACTGTGAAAGCTGTCTCATCACTGGGGTTCAGGGCGATCAAGGGATCAGTGTAGTTAGATTCCGTTTCTCAGCTATTGCTCTACCGCGGAAGCGCTACTAGTCTAGTTACCTTGACTCATATCCCCAGTGTAACAGAAATTCACAATACTTGTAAACTTGAAACTGTATTAGAATTACTGTGTGGAGGTGCTGTCAATCAGGGTGTGGGGTCTCACTGTATGGTAGTCATTTGTTGCCCACTTTTAACGTGACGGAAAGGACGCTGAACCACCAACACAGCTAATCTCGAGGTTCTCACTCAGGACTAGATTACACCTCATTGCGACCCACTCTCTTGACCACTTTTTCCATGTTTACTAATGCGACCTTTTGCCTAACCAGGTACAACTTCATCAAACTGCACACGCCGAGACGTACGAAACACTTAACGTAACCAGCGCAGAAGCTTCAATCCCCACAGGTTGTTCACTACTCTATCCGACGGCCTGTTATCGAATACCATCTTACAGATCACCTGCCCAGTTCCAGTTCTGCTGAATTTAATTATGCCATTTAACATATCCAAACATTCTTTTGTACCGTTGTTTCCAATGAAGAACTTCCTTGCATCTTTATTCCATTTGAGCCGCTATTTAAAGGTCCCATACCGTTTCGGTAGCATTGATTGCTATCTCTGAGTTATTTATGGAACTGACTTTTGATCCCCTATAAATAGACTGATTCCTTCGACTGATCCATCCTCAATGTGAAGTCGGTTCTCACACCATCATGCATTGTGGTAGTTTGCAACGTAGGCACCGATGAACTCGCAATTTGAAACCATCAATCCCTCGGGCAGCACCCAACGTACCTGGCTGCTATCGCCTATTACAGTACGAGTCTTCTCTATTTAGAATGATAGTTCTAACCTAGAACCAGACCGGTAAACGGGACATCGGTCTCTGCCATCCGGTTACCACGCGCTTCTGATGGATTTGTTTTCTTCAGATCGAGGTTTCTTGCTTTTATGCTCATGTGAGCTTCCGTTTCGTGTAGACTATCTATTGGCTCGTGCTCCAAGTATCCAGATATCCTGCACCCAATACTTTTTCGCTGGATTTTCTTAACCGTATCCATTGTTGCTTTCACCGCAGAAACAAAATGATCTCGAACTGGCCGCTAAAATTGGCAAAACGCTGCTAGATAAAAACCAAGACTTGGAGCGTCGGCTTTCGGAAGCAGAACGGAAACTGATTCTAACGGAAGACACGGTAATTTCTCCTCTCTTTAACCCCTGTTTCGAACAGTTATGTGTGCACACTTTCGTCCTTTCCCCGACTGACGCTTTGTGTTCTTCTAACCTCTGTTGGATCGGTTTGTTTCGTTGCACTTTACGGCAATCATGTAATCAGTTGCGTCACGTTGCGACATTCCTCCCTTGGTGCATAGTCTTGGCGCGAATGTTCATATTTCTTTATTTGCGCGTTCATGCGTGTTGTCATTCCACATTTGCTTAGATTCGCCCTTCCTATGCTTTCTTATTGCGTCAACATCATTGTAACCATCGGTTTTAACTGCATTCCACTTTTCTCAAACTGTTACCACACGGAGTGTAATTGCACCTACCGCTTGTTGTGTGCCTCGCCTCTGTCCAGACACTGCTGCATTACGCTTTATGGTCTGTTAGTATGCAGCGTTCGGTTATTTGTTTATTGATTGGGCAACTATGCATGGAATCATGCATCACCAGGATCTGCTTTGCGCGAACGAGGGTCGCTCAAACAGTTCTTAAAGGAAATTAGTATAACAATGTCAATCTGATTGTTTTTCAACTTAGAATCCTTAGGTTTATAAATGAATAAACGGTTTATTCTTCGACAGTACGAGGCACTGTTCACTGAGTGGCCTTATCAATCTGGACAACGAGATCGCATAACCTATTTAATTGTTCATGTTTTGTATAACGGATCCCCAGTAGGTTTTGTAAGTGATTGGCAGTTTAAAGGTATCAGAGTGATTAAGAAACTGAGAACAATAACAGATGCAGTTAACCAAAATTTCACATAAATTAATGAGGCCATCCATGGAACAGTCCCCAGGGGACCTGCTTCCATGCGGGGTTTTCCCTCGATAAGTTTCACCCGCGCTTCCATGCTTCAACTGGCTGTGTGCCGGTGTGGCAAAATAGCATGTAAACCATCACCTGTTTCACAAATGCCATTTTTATTAAAGCTGTTTTATGCATGCATTATGGGCGATGAAGCCTCAGCCCGCTCCGACATGCGGATCATTCAACTATGGCACTATTTTGTTGTATGCCAATGAGTCAATGGCAGCATACCATTCATGGGTATAATTTTTTAACTTGGAAGTTGCAATTCGTCACCTCAAGAGATCAGCCTACTCGTGGCCTATAGTGAAATAAGGAGAAATATAAGGTATGAGGAGTTAAAAATCATACTACCAGTAACTACCTTTTGTAGCTAATCCAACCACAAGCTCATGGGAAGTCTTGGTGAACAACGATGATGGTACAGAAATTTCGAGGGAAAGAATTTTGCATTCCGGTCAATGTTCTGCAGAGAATAAAGCGCAGTTAAGATAATCCAAATGCAATGGATAATCTTTCTGCAGTTGTTGGTGAATTATCCCAAATAACGAACAATTGAAACCATCAGAATTGGAAAACGATTAGTTCATTAATTCCAGACAATCGATCGCAAAGAAAATATCCGTTATCGATCGCTCAGTGAAGACATGAAAAAGAAATAAGAGATGTGCAGATGAGTACCGCAAGTTAACATGGAACAGGTTTCGATTGATATTGGAAATAAAACGCAAAGACGGACTAAGCATCTTCAAGAAATGGCTACCGTGGTCTTTTTGTTTCAAATATGACCTGGCCCTTCTTCAAACTACCTATCATCGCTCATTTGCAAACTCAAGATCTGTTTCACTTTTACTAGTGTCAGGAACATCTTAATCATTTTGTTCAATACGCTCAAACGTTTTGCACATCATATACAACTAGGTAGCTTATTCCATATCAGGCCGAACCTTATTAGTTCTGTCCGACTGTGGTGTCGAATTGATCTGCTACAAAATCATACATTCATTGTCGTATATTTCATATCTGGTTTCCAACCGAACTAGCATAGAGTGGTGTTCACTGTGCACGTTATGCCACACAACTTTATGAAGGAAACCAAGATCTAAATGTAATCTACGTAGCCATAAAACCTCAAGTTTTATTTCACTAAATCTATCTTTATAAGGAACAAGGGTGGAGTAACCAAAGATGCGTTCGGTGAGGGTGCCTTCAGGTCATATATACGTAAATTGCTGAACAAAACGCTACTATTCCAACTAGGGTCTGATCTTGATTTTATCTGCCATGATCTTTGTCTCTTTCAGAGTTAGTAACTGACTAATATGTCACGATACTTGCATTGCCTTAGTGACGATATAGTTCGCATGTCCGCTGAAATTTAAGGAGCTGGGATACCTCAGTCCTAACTTAACTGAAGAGCACACTGGAATGAGATCGCCATGAAATGGAACTAACCCTGCCTCAGTATGGCATCCATAAGTCATGATATTTGCATTTTGATTTGGAGAAGTGCATCTGCCACCTCGCAGCCCAGCCCTCTAAGGTTTGTAAATCACATTTAATGTTTGCTACCTCAGTTATGTATTGGGATGAATGGAACGCATACACGACCTTTAACTTATCTGTAAACAACTAGGAGCTTCCCAAGCGTACGACAAAATGAGATCGTTAATGTGCAATAAGAAAAGAAAGAAAACGCTGCCTTGAACGACGCCACTAGTAACTTGTTGGGGCGTAGTCAGATAGGATTTAAACCATGAAAGATGCGGATTTGATATGCCAAAACTACCCAGTTTCGATAATAACCTTTTGTATAAGATTCGATCGAACGCCTTCTGCATATCAAGATGTAAGACAATGCATTGAAGACTAGAGTCAGTTACTCTGATGAGATTATTTAAGTAATCAGTTTGGCAACTTATGTACGAACGAGACTTTTAAAAAACCATACGGTGAAGGTAAAAGAAGACTGTGCGATAAGAGGAATGAAGTGAGTTGTTCCTTTACAATTCTCTCCAGCAATCGTGATAAGCTGGAGGTGTGACTAATGGAGCGATAATTACGTATATCTGTCTCAGGCCCAGAGTTATATCGCGGTATGGCAACAGATGCCTTCCAACTCTCTCCCGCCTGTAAGGACAGGGGAAAGATATTCAATACTAATACTGTTCTTTCATTCACCACCACACTTGATTACAGCTGAAATGATACCATCGGGGCCAGGGTTATGAGATGGCCGAAGCAAGTCAATCAAACGTTTAATGACCCCAACGTTGAAGTGGACAACGTAAATAGTTTCGGGCGTAACAAATGAAACTGGCGGTATCAGAGTCGCACTTTCACTGCTGAAAGGTTCAATAAAGTGTGCACTAAGGGCATCTGCCATAGCAGTAGGCGTGTCAACCACACTGCCGTGTGATAGTATATAACTTCAGTACACTTCATCCGTTGAATACGGAATACTGAGAATAGAGATCGAGAAGATAAAAATCTGTGGTACTCCATCGTAGGTGGATCGGGCACATGCACGGAATCACGTCGCTGATTCCTGCGCGGTGGCAGCATATTGCAGCTGCACTACATCTTATCCGGGTACGATACACTCCCTATACCTGTAGTCCGCAAAGTGGGCATCAAGGAATCTTTTTAGTTTCGACACCGATTTTGCCTCGACTAGCGTCTCCGCCAATTTGTTCCAATAGTTCACCACTCGACGCTGGAGGCATAGAGGGTGAGCGATGTGCTTTAAATCTGGTACCACTAGTTTGTACCGGTGTCCGCGTGTGCTGCTTGTTTCGCGAACTTGCAGCAGCGACTCCAACATAGGGAAGTGGCCCAGGTGCAGTTGCCGGTGCGTCATTATGAGCTCAACTCGAAGTCGACGATATGACAGGGTATAAAGCCCTACTCTCCTATATCGGTCCTCTTACGATATACCCCGTAAACTGGGGATGAACCGGGTATCTACATCCTGGACCCGTTCCAGTCTCTGCACCTCACCTATTGTGATCGGGCAATAGCCGGTTGAGCCGTACTCAAGCGCTGGTCTTATTAAAGAAGAGAAGGGACGAGTGGCAATCTCTTCAGACCAAGTGCAGAAGCTGCGTCTAAGTGCACATAGCAGGCGTCCGTTTGCGTACAGTCTGTTCGTGTTGTCGACAGACCTCAGATCACACCTTGAGAATATGCCTAGAACCTTTACGGAACTGGTGAAATGCAACGGGTGACCGTCAAGGGTATACGCACGCCCATTACTACCTCTCCTCAGGCTCATAAACAAGGACTTGGCCGTATGGACCGGTAGGTCAACTTCTGCAGTCCACCGGGATAGGCGGTCTAAATCCTGCTGAAGGACGTCACAGTCGCTGGTAGAATCAATAATCCTCCAAATCTGCGGGTCATCCGCAACTAATGCACAGGGCGACCGTGGAAGCTGAGGTACTTCCTAGATGTGAATTAGGAATAAAATGGGCCCCAGTACTGTGCCTTGGGGTTCGCCGCTAGTGGACGGGTACCATTCCGTTAGGTGGTCACCCACCTGAACCCGTCATCTCCCAATAAGGAAGTCACTGGTACAGTGCGCCACATACACCACGCATCCTCAGCTTGTGGAGCAGGACCTCTTGGTTCACTTTATCGAAAGCTTTACTCAAATCAATGTAGATGACATCCACTGACTTCCCCCGATTCAACGCTTGCAACCATTCCTGCCGCGTCAACAGCTCATTGGTCATGCACGAGCGGCCCTTCATGAAGCCGTGCTGTGCCGGCGTTAGAAGATCTTTCGACTCCAGCAGCTGGAGAGGACCTTTTTTCATAATCTTAAGCACCTTCGCCAAAGCAGAGGTGCGACAAATCGACCGGTAATTGTCCACATTGCGTGGGTCACCACCTTTTGGAATCGGCTTCACTATCGAGCATTTCCAGTCGCTCAGCAATGCACCGTCGGACAGTGATCTACTGAACAGATTCGTCACGGCAGGCGTGATGATGGTCGATAAGGATTTCAAAATTAGCGGGTGAAGTCTATCGGGTCCGGCAGGTTTTGTGCCCTCAACACTGGCGAGTAGACTGCGGACATCTACATCGCAATCAAGCTTCTCGAGTTCATTAGGGGCTGCACACGTCGGGCTCGGCATAGGCGCCTGCCCACTTGCATAT